ACTTACTTACTTACTTACTTACTTACTTACTTACTTACTTACTTACTACTCACTACTTACTACTTACTACTTACTACTTACTACTTACTACGTACTTACTTACTTACTTACTTACTTACTTACTTACTTACTTACTACTTACTACGTACTACGTACTACTTACTACTTACTACTGACGACGACGACGACGACGACGACTACTACTACTACTACGTACTACGTACCACGTACTACGTACTACTACTACTACTACCACTACGACGACTACTACTACTACTACTACTGCTACTACTACTACTACTACGTGCTACTACTACGGACTACTACTACTACTACTTCTACTACACCTACTACTCCTACTCCTACTCCTACTCCTACTACTACTACTACTACTTCTACTACACCTACTACTCCTACTCCTACTCCTACTCCTACTACTACTACTACTGAGACTACGACTACCACTACCACTACCACCATCACTACCACTACGACTACTACTGCTGCTACTACTACTACTACCACCACTATTACTACTACTACGTACTACTCCTACTACTTCTCCTACTACTACTACTACTACTACGACGTTTACTAGCAACGGTTTCCAGTTGTCCAGCAGTGCAGCCCGGCGCTTGGACAGTGTTGTTGAAAAAGTGTCTTGAAGCCTCAAGACTGAATGATGTTTTTTGAAACCACAAAGTTGAGATCACTAGATGTATATAGATGACACAGTGTATGACATAACCTTAGCTCAGAAACGCCTCATGTTTGGAAAACGCGTTTGTTTACGCGAAATGGCGTTTGCAAAGGAACTGCGTAGCGTCAACGTGCGTTATTTTTTGAAACCGTAGTCGAACTTTTGGGTTGGATTGCGTCTCCCCATCGCGTTCGGCAAACCGGGGTGTCGTCCACAACCTGATACGTTAACTTTTTGGTTCCAGTCTTGCATTGGTAGATTTGTATTTCCGCACCGGCCCCACGATGGCAAGCATGCGCACATCTGTGTGGTTGAACGTTTTGTCCTTGCAGATTTTGAACGCATGGGCAACTTGGCATGCATTTGTCACTGGTGTGACAGTAGCCGGGGGTCTTTCAAAACATGCGGCGGTTAGATGAGGCATTTCCTGTGCTCTCTGCTGAACAGTATCCGGGTTATGAAGTGCCTTGGCCAATGGGCATTGGAACGGCAGCGCCCTGGCCCATCGCGCCAGCCCAGCATTTTTGTGTTCATGTATCTTTTATGTGCTCCATATGCGCCATTCCATTGGCATTCTGTGGAGTTCCATTCTTGCAGGTCTTGGAGGTATTGAGGGAAGCTGGGAACTTTGTCCGGGAACTTCCAAAACAAGTTGAGAAGAGTGTCGGAACAGAGGCGGCTGTGGGGCGCGAAACTGACCGGCGGGGCCGGTGGCTGAAATTTCGATCGTGGAGCGCATGCATTCCAATCTTAAGCATGTGTGTGTTTGTTTTTGACACGTGCATGTAAGCTCGTGTCTTTTTGCCATCATGCCGTCGACATTGCCCGTTGGACGATTTGCGTTATGAAGGCAGCACCGTCAACAGAGGAACCTTTGCGTCCACGCGTGCCACATCGTTTCTCATCGAAGATGACGGTCATCTCCTCCGAGACAGGCACGTCTTGGTGATGTGATTCTTTGTCGCTTTTCAACTTTCCAATCCGATTCGGAACCTGAATAACACAGGCGTTCCTTCAACCGGCGCTGGTTTCTTCGCGCAAGATGCGGATCGCAAGACCATGCGCTTGGAAAGCCTTCGGCCTTTCCCTGGCACGGGAGAGTTGTTGACCAATATGACCAGTTTGTGACGTGGTTGGCAGCAGTTGTAGCAAACATGTGGCCGGTGCCGCCCAAATGTATGAAATGGAAGAGGCACCGTTTTTTTTTTTTTCAGTCCTTGACTCTTGCCCCCTTTCCTCGGAGGAAGCATGACGCCGAAACCGTGGGCGCATGCGTGACTCGTTCTCAGGATGCGGGCCAACGAGTCCTGGGACATCACAGGCGGCAATCACCCCATGTGCCGACAACTGCCCATGTTTGGGGCACAAAGCCTTTCGGCCGCAGACATGAAGGCTTTGAGTTCATAGACAAGGTTCAGTCGATCAACCGGTCAACCGGATGCTGGTTTTGTTCTGCGTTTTTTTTGTTCGCGTCCGTGCCAGCTTAGGATTTGCAGATCTCTTCTCCTGGGCTGCCAGCCCAATTCTTTCCCAATATGCCGGTGAGCGCACAGTGGACGGGAGGAATTGTTCCTTGTGGCGCCTGCACGCCAAGAGCCTCAGCACATGACGTTTGGTGTTAGTTCGCGGTCTGAAACCACACACTGCGTCGCACCGGAACTGAGGAATGCCTCCATGAGCTTGTGTGCAAGTGGTGACATTCCCGTGGAGCTGAACATGAGTGTGTTCATCAAGGGTAGCGCCACTGATGCACTTGAACAAGCTGATCCTCAAGCTGTCTTCGTGTATCCTATCATTTGCTCGTGGGTTCTGACCTCGGTGTGGGAATGGGCGCCAAGGCACTGGCAGCGCCAAGAACTTCAACAGTACTTATCGCTTCTTCGGTGCGCTGACGGTCGGGAGCGAGGCCCATCCGGGCGAACGGCAGATGAAACGATGGGACCACGGGCTACCACGGGTCATGGTTCATGTGTCAAGGGTTTTACACTGTGCAGGTTCAGGGTCAAAGCATGCAATGAAGAACCCACAGCCTTCATTTCGACCAATGCGTGTGGTTCCGTGACGATGCGAGGTGCCGGACTTTCTCTTCCAGAAGCCTTCGATCTGTGGAAGCTTTGTCCCTCCGTGTGAAAACGGCCGAGGGCTTGATCCGGTTGAGCTGGCACCTTGGCAACGAAGAAGAGCGGCGACGGAACAATTCTGGCAACATACTTCTCCCCCTCAAGTCCTGTGAGCCGTCCAGCGTGGAAACAACCGTGCCGTGCTGTTTGATCGTGGGCCGTGCTGTGGAAAGAACCGGTCCGTCTTGTTGACAGGATGCTTACGTCTTTCACCCGGGTTTGTCAGTTGCCGACTACAACATCGAGGACAGTTGTGATCCTTTGGGCCAAACTTCTTTGTCAGGCCGCCTGTGTGTTTTTTGCTCCAGGTTGTTTGTTTGATCTCGGACCCTGCGAAGGATCAAAATGTTGCAGATCTGGCTGGGGACGCGCTCTTCATTTGCATGGACTGCTTGCAAAATCAGTCTTCATTCATCGATCACAACTACAGCTTGCGGCTGGGCAGAACAGACAGAGCTCCACCGTCTCGGAGCCATCTGTCAGAAGCGTGTGGGAGAGCATCTGAGGATCTCCCGGTATATACTCCAAGTCTCTCCGGCCTTTGGGCAGCAGCTTGGCGGACTCCTCTGCGGCTCAGTGTTGGCTACCTCAGATCCCACTTGTGTTTGTTCTGAGAAGGTATGCCTTGTGCAATGGCTACCCCGACTGGCCCTTAGCTTCCACATCCGTGCACGAAGCCAAGCAGTTTCGCCTCGTCGTCATCCTTGTCGCCAATCCGTACGCCTCAGGACACCAAACCCCCCGGACCTTCGTGCATCGGGGGCGATCCTCGTTTGGTGGGGAAGGAGGCGCCCTTCTTTGCGGGCGATGATGAGAGCAGGTGCCGGGAGCCGGGGTGGCCGGTAGGGTCGTTTCAGGCGGCAGACTTCAGAGTGAGGATCGGCTGCAGTCTTTTTTGGAGGATTTAACCCCTCCAAACCCAGAAGGGACAAAAGATGAAGCTCTTATTTTCCAAGGGAAACGGCTCGCGAGTGAGCTGAAATCCCGCCAACTGTGGCTGGCCACACTCGAGTTGACTGCCAGACCGCCCCAGATCGCCAGGTGCACTGCGACGAGTCCCATTGGCTTTTGGCGTCTTGCTTGGGCCAATCCGGGAGCATGAAGAAACGAGCACAAGGCTGTAGGTGAACAAGCTAGGCAGGATCTTCTGGCAATGTTCTGAGTAACTCTTCAGTAGCCTATGTTGCTGCATGGTTTCCAAGAACCAAACAATCACATGAAGAAGACTCTGAAACGTTTGTTTCAATATGTTTTCTCTTGGCCGAGCTCCGGTCATGTCCAACCGACCGAAAAGAACACCCCGGCTGACTCGTTGGTGAGGTTTGGCCTGCCAAAGGGTGGCCACTGCCCCCCGGGGCAGGTGCCCGGCAAGGATGCCTGGGCCGGTGGCTGCACTTGGTCCGTGCAGAAGCGCCTCAAGACCATTCACCAGGCCAGGTGTGGGGTCAGGGGAAGGACACAGAATGACAGTGATTTGGTTTTGTTTTCTGAAGCAGGAGGGTAGGGGCTTTGGAGGTGAACCTTTCCAAGATCAAACATCTTTTCAGACTACTCAGCGTGTCAATACGTCTCATCATCTGTATCACTTACAGTCTGGATTACGTCATCTTTCTAGAAGATTGCTTGGCAGCCTCTGCGAGGCTTGCCTGCTGAAGGACCATGGCTATTTGAATTATTGCAAGGCAGACTTTCTTGAGAAGAAGGGCTTTCCCAGGAGCGACGCGACGTCCCAAACTCCCAAACGTGGTGATGTGTGGTACTCCTGTGTGGTGTACTGGTGAGCTAGCACGTGAGGGCCCACCGATCGACAGGAGCATGGCCGCCCTACAGGCTGCTTTTGCGTCCGAGGCCACAGAATGTGCAGTCTTGGCTGTAGTGCGGCTGAAACCCACATGGCAACAGAGAATGCAGCTGAGATGTAATATATATATATATATAATATTTACAAGGGATGGTGATTTCTAGTGAGATTTTTTTACTTTTATTAAAGTGGAACATTTGATGCTTTTTTGTGGTTAGGTGGCTTTGGGCTTTTGGCTTCTGTGTGGCTTTTGGGTTGTGCAGCTTTTGTGGCTTTTGGCTTCTATGTGGGTTTTGATGACTTTACTACTTTTCTAGTCAAAGTCTCTACTTTTGATGCCTTTCCCCTCAAAATCTCTACTTTTGATAACTTTTCTCCTGAAACATGTTTGATGAATTGTACTACCGAATTCTTTGCTCTTGATGACTTTACTAGTCAAAATCTCTCATTTTGACCCATTATAATCGCTACTTTCGACAACTTTTCTGGTAAGATCGCTATTTCTTATGATTTTTATATTGAAATCTCTTTGTTGATGAGTGTTCTATTGCATTCTTTGCTTTTGATGACTCTTCTAGACAAAATTCCTACTTGTAATGCCTTTCCCATTGAGAACCACACAGACCACCCAAAAAAAGAACATCCAAACAAACTCTTAAACATTCCCAATTACAGCCCCCCTTTAAAACCCATTTCAAGACCAATTCCGTCGCCCCTGTGAGGACCCAACCCAAGGAGGATGCAAGGATGTGGGCGGACCTGATTCCGAGCCGGAATCCATTGTTGTTTGAAGAGACGAAGGCCGGGCAGGGCATGGGGCGAGAGTGGGAGTCTCAAGCAGATGGTACCTTTTTTCAAGGCGTTTTGGTGCGTGATGACGGCATAGATGTTGGTGAAATTGGTGGAGGGCCGGCAAGTCGCCGCTGAAGCTGCGGCGCCCTCGCAGCGATGCGAGTGCTAGGTGATGAGGCACCAGGGAGGAAGGGCGAAGTTGAGATGTGGGGAGCCCGGCTCTTGGTGCCTTTCTTCTCCTAGAAGCGAACAGTTTCCTGTCATTCTGCTTGGGAATTGGCAAGATGGACCGCAGAAGCCGCTGGGCCATCCTTTTGTGTGAATGATGCTTGAGACCATCAAGCTGAAACACTTTTCGCGGCAAGTTCAGCCCAGAACATTCGCGCTGACCGTGAAGCGCTGACCAAAGGTGGAGCAGGGTTGTGGTTGAGTGGTTGATTGATTTGTCAGACTCGAAGGCTCTCTTCATGGCTTGACACATCTGGACACGCTGTAGTGATGTTGGTGCCAACTATGGAGGTATTTCAGGCCTTGCTCAGAAGCGGTTCATTGAGTTTAGTTTGGCGTATCAACAGCGGAGGTGAAGTTTCCTTCAGCCTTTCGGTTTCAGTTTTGTGTCGAAAGGTCGTGTTCAATCACTCACTAGCTCGCTTCAGTCACTCACTTACTCACTCAGTCACTCAATCAATCAGTCAGTCAGTCAGCTGAAAGACAATCAATCAGTTGAAGGAACATCACACGACTCATTCTTTTGATTTTTGGAAAGCCGAAGCACACTTCACGCGCCAGCGTCGCTGCTCATCTACCCAGCATTGCACTGTGCGTTGGTCAGTTGCAACCCCAAACGATCTCGAAACCTTGTGGCGCACTTGAGCAACAACACCTCCTCTTTGTTCCTGCGCCGCCATGGCTCCGCCTGCTTCGGATGCCGATCCGGCCGATGCCGCGCTCCGTTCGGCTTTGGGGGGATGAAAGCGCCCAAGGCCTTGAGTCCCAATGGCTACGGACCGAACTCCCGTGCGGTCGCACGGGACCCTGCCAAGTCGGGCCAGACCTCGAGCCAGTCGAGTCCTGGTCCACGGTCGATCGATGAAGCTATCACTGACTTGAGCAAGCTGCAGTTGATGCTTGCAGTCCCTACGGTGTCGGAGTTGCGGATGGCCCGGCCACTACGCCGCTCGGAGGGGGAATTGTATGTGGCCCAGTTCGTGCTGCAATCCACACATCGGAAGTTCAACAAGTTCTTGAGCACGCCAGAGGGAAAGTGTCAACTGCACCCGAATTTGAAGCTCGGCAGTGCTGATGGCGAACTGGGTTCCGATGAAGGTGGATCCTTTGGCAGCCTCGAAGATGGCACACCAGTCCTCTATCAGACCAATGGGATTGCACGCACCGAACAGCCAGTATTGAACCGCTCCATTCGCTGCAATCGGACCGGTGCCCCCGGTCACTACATGGAGACGAAGATGTTAGTCGCGCGCCCCCGTGACACGGGCTTAGTGGGCTTGGCACGAGCCAAGACCATCAAGACTCGTGTGGATCTTCAGGCCAATCTGTTTTATTCCTTCACCAGCTGCTGGCAGATTTATGCCTGCTCGGCGAACGTCGGGCAGCTGGGCGAGGAGGACTCCGGAGAACGCATCCTCGTGCGCCGGTCGGTGAGGGATTTTCAGCAACATCATTTTCATGACTTTCCCGTGGCGAAGCATCTCGCCGATCTGCTGGACCGAGAGAATGAGGTGCTGGTGAAGGGGCATAGCTTCGAAGTCGGAGAGATTGAGAAGGACTTGTTCGACTACCACTGTTACACTCTGCGATCCTGGCAAACCTATGAGTGTGAAGGAAGGCCCCCTGAAAGTGATGTTGGACGGAAACTCCTGGAAGCTGCACGGAACGGCCAAGTTTCGGAAGTCAAGCATTTGATTTTGAATTGTGGGTGCCATTGTGACACCATTGTTTCGGAGTTTGGTTGCATTGGCAGTGGCAAGTCTGGCATCTACACTCGGACCGATTGCGGCTTTGCAGAGGAGCGCACCGCACTCATCGCTGCAATTCAAGCGGGGTGGCGCTCAGTGGTCGAAACGATTTTGGAGTTTGTACGTGTAGGGCAAGCAAGCCTGAACGTGGTTTGCCATGAGTGGAACCCAAGGGGAATAGGCGGAGATTGCCTGCGGCCCTGCTACACTGCACTGGACCAGGCCAAGCTATACCACCGTGAGGACATTATTCCCTTGCTGGAGGCTGCTGGAGCACTTCCACATAAGAGGTGCAAGAAAAGCCGTCGGGAGAATCCCTTTGATGTCCGAGCCAGGCAAGATCGAGGCGAACATCGCGAGGAGCAGCCAAAAGATTCGGCTGGCCGTGAGGATCGCTATGAGGATTTCACATTCTCAGAATGGGCTGATGAAGCGCAAATGGATAGCGACATGAAACAGGCAAAGGGGACGAGGTTTGTGAGGACACCAGGGAAGACAATGTGTTTTTCCACGAACACCGTGAGCACCAGCCATTTTACGCTTGAACTGTGCTGCTTGTGCACTACTTTTTGGCAGTATGGGAGGTGTAGCCGTCAACCGATGTCCCCAACCTGTGTGAAAACCATGTCCTGTTGCCGCTGCTGCCGCTGTTCTGCTGATGTGGGCTGTTGTCGTTGGGCTCGGTTGTCGGGGTCGCCTTATGGCGCTGTTCGTCCCGTGGGAGTGAGGTTCGGTTGAACCGTAAGGGACGACCAGGGCCGAAGGGACATCTCGATGTGACAAGGAATGCTGGGTCATGTCACTGGAAAGAATGCCCCACTGTTGACCTACGGCCGCTATCGACAGCTTCGGAACATGGGCAAGTGCACCGTCCCTGAAAGGACACATTTTTAAACACGCCATATGAATTTGGCCCGTCAATGTTTGCGACCCTTTCTTTGGACTTTTGTTCGATGTAATGCAGCAGTGTGTTGTGCATGTAGGGTTTGGGCCGCATGACCTTTTACCCTTTTATCTACATGCTACATGCTGCACGTGTTTTTCTTTCAGGTGTTGAACATGTGTCTCCTCAGACCCTCTTTCTAAAGGCGGTGGAAAGCCTCAAAGAAGAGCTGCAGCAATACGGCAACCTGTCGGAAGCCGAGCAAACCAAACTCTTCCGCAAGCTGAGTGCACGCTGGCATCCGGATAAGCACCCGGACGAGAAGAAGGTGATGGCCACTCGAGTCTTCCAGTGGATCCAGCATGTCAAGGATGAAGCCTGGGAGAACAGAGCATGGTCGGCTTAGCGTTTTTCGTTTCGTGTGGAGCGGTCATCGGCGATGAGAAAGGCCTGAAGAGACAAAGCATGATTGTGCCATCAGATTTTGACTGAATGACGTGGGTTTCTGTGTGGGCACCTGGAGAAAAGTGGTCGACATGGATTCATTGGTGTGGACTTGATCGGTTTTATCACTCGCAGCTTCTGGTGTTGATTTGGGGATGGGTCAATTCCTGAAGTCTCAACATCATGTAGCGAATGACCTGCCAGGTAGGTCATTGAAGTTCTTGGAGCCTTACGACTCGCCGCAGCCGAGTCGTTTCGAACACGCCTGAGAATGGGGCATGCGGCTTGTGCTTTGGGATGTGCTGTGGGGCCCTCAGCTTTCATGGAAGCGCCAAGCTGTGAGGAAAATCTGAACTGGTGCCAATCGCAAAGGACAGAGGTTGCTCTGGATGTGGAACTTCAACGCAAGTGGTAGAGGTGGAGGCAGCAGACGCCGACTTGGAGAAGGGCATACGGGGCATATGGGGCTCGGGCGAATCAGACTGTTGACAGTCCATCCACAACCATAGGTGCTTTAAAGTTGCCCAAGCTTTCATAAACATTGCAGTTACTGTGCCAATCAGCATCTTGTGCAGGCAAACCGCTCCGTCAGCTGTACTGTGTCGAGCAACTAGCGGATTCAGGGTATGGAACCTCGCATCAGGTTGCAAGCGAGACACTTTCATCAAGACCGCGCCACCCTTGTCAGCAGGCATGAGTGCCTGTTGTTGCTGGGAGGTGCAGAGGAGGTTGGCACTTCTTTGACCAGCGAAAAGTGGACAGTGTGCAGAAAGTGTTGCTAGAGATTGAGCAACGTGCTCTTCCATGCTCCACCGAGGTCCTTGAATACAGCAAGACAGGGCCCAAAAGCAAAGGAAGCATCCAAAAGCAAGATGTATAAGTCCTAACTGCCCTCTCTCCAACGTCGTGCATGCCTTGGTGGCCAATCCCCCCAAAGGAGGTGGGTCTGAGTTGGTGTGCCTTCTTGAACCAGGACACGTGCCAAAAACCTCGTTCGGGTGAATGGGAGCAGTTCAGCTCAGGCCAACCTCGAGTCTTGGCACGGCACCACGTCCTCCGCGCCCGTCAGGGTCTCGGCGAAGCGGAGCGGAGCGTGACGGAGCGGCGAAGCCTCGTTCTGAGGCGCCGTTGGAGGTGAGGCCCGTGAAAGGAGACGAACGTGTTGGGGGACTCAGCCTGGTTTTTCTCAAGAACTTGGTGACTAAGAGGAGGTTGTCTTCTTTTCTTTTTTGGTTGGGGAGGGGGGGTGATCTCTTGCCAACTAGTCATGTTCTGAAACGGCCTTTTGAACACCAGATTTGCACCAACAGCTCCACTCTGGAGCTGAAACGCCGGCAGCGCCGCGCAGCGCGGCAGCGGCTTCGCGGCTTCGCCTTCGAAACGTCCCGTGGTCGCCCTCCGATTCGAAGTTTCCAGACCTCCGAGGCAAAGGGCTCCCACTTGGCGCCTTTGCCAACTCTTCATCTAGACATGCCATGCCCTCAGCCGCCTTCAGCTGGAAGAACACCCGTTTTGCCTGCAGCGCTGAGAGAGCCGACGCGGAGGCTCGTTTTGACGTTTCGCTTCGCTTCTTCCAAGGCCAGCAGCTGTGGCTGCCGCCTTTCTTGAAAGCACGAAGGCAGAGGCACCTGCTGGCGGAGCATGCTGCAACTGACCATCCACACCCCAGGGTTTATCTCCCCTGGTTCTTTTCTGGTGCTTGTGTGCCGAGCCTTTCGACGTCTCTACGCAAAAGACATGAAGCGCCGGGAGCTGGAGTGGCCCAGGCCGATGCCAAGCATCGCCGGAAGCTGGCCTGCCGTGCCGCGCGGCAGGAGGCGGCCCAGTCCCGCCCGGCCGAGTGGCGGGCTGGTCCCCAGCCGACTGGTCCAGTCCGGCCGACCGTGGTCTGGAGGCCCAGAAAACGGTCCAAACGCCGGGAGGTAGAACACCGCACCAGTGAAGTGGCATGCACCAAAAAAGTGGACATCGCACAACTCTGCAAGTGAAGATGGTGAAGGGTAATTAGCCAAACGGGGGATCAGGGGTGAAGATCCTCCCAGACTTCAACTTCATTGTGTAGATGGGCTCCTGAAGTTTTTGGACCGTCGCTGGGGTAGAAGAGGGGTTTCACAACACCCTGGGAGAATGGCTGTTATGTTTCGCATTCGCACACCTGAGGGCATCATGTGAAGGACGCCTCGAACGGGAGGACCCCAAAGCGGTCGCAGTGGTGTTTTCGACCCAAAAGAGAAGCCAATCCGTCCCGAGGCTCCTAGCGATGCCCTTTGCTCCTAGTAGCGATGCCCCTGTTCCTAGTAGCTTCTTGTTACTAGTAGTACGGCCAGGAGCCCCTAGAAGCCACTCCGTCCCGGGCGCTATCCCTGTGTTTCTTCCTTTCTCGGGCGTCGCGACCGCCTGAGGCTCTGGACTCGCCACGAGATTTACAGCCGTTGGGTCTGGATGGTAAGTTTGTCTTGAACTTGGAGGGTGTGTCATTTGTCCAAACGCTGCAAATGAGCACCGCAAAATCCCCGCAAAACATCAGCAAAACAGATGAACTTAGAGGATCCTCGTGCGTGGTCCAAACGCGCTTGTCAAACGTGCATGTTTGTCACATCTTTCCAGTTGTTGTTGTTGTTGCTGTTGTTGTTGTTGTGGTGGTGGTGGTGGTGGTGGTGAAGGTCAGCAGCGGTGCAATTAGACAAAGGTTGCAGGAGATGGAGGCCCCGGTGTGAGTCTTCAAGCTGTGAGCTTGGTGCACAAGAACTGGGTGAAACATGTGAAGAAACTGATGAACAGTCATGAAAGGCCCCACATGAATCATCAGTTGTCAGTCTTTTGCAGGATGCAAGCTTCTCCAATCGTGTGCGATAGTGAGCCGAATTCGGACTGGGGACCTAGAACATCTTTGAGCCCTGGTGCGGTCTGCAAAAAGGGATTTGCGCGAAGGCAGAAGCAAAGTTGCAAATGGGCCGCGCAGACGAGTGGTTCAATTCGAGACATGCATGTCGCTTCTTTGAGCCCGATGCGAAGAAATGCATGCATCGTCACTGCGGTCTTTTTGGTTCTTTTTCTCCACCGGCTGCTGGGCTTCGGGCGGCCAAGCGGCCTCAGTGCTTTTCCCGCTCCCACGGGTGGCGTTTGCTACCTGCGAGCCTATGGACGTCAAGCAGCTGGGATGCGAAGGCCTTAGGGGTTGCGCCAGGGATGGGAGTGAGGTCGCTCCAAGGCAGGCCCCTCTGAAAGCTGGGCAACGGGTCGCCGAAGTGGCGGCCGTTTTCGGATGGCGCATGCCGAAACGCGGATTTGGTTGTAGAATATGGTTTGTGGCACATAAGTCACATGGTCATGCCACATGTGTGCTGCGAAGGTTGTCCATCGATGTCCGCAAAAACCCACCCCATGCACAGCCTGAGTAAATACAACGAACCTAGACGAAAACAACACATTTGCAAATTTGGGTGCCTGTGCGGTTTTGTAAAGAAACACCAGTCATACTTTGGGTTCCTCCAGCTTCGTCCCGTCCTCCACTGAAGTCATCTTCAGGGATGCATGGACGAGCACAGAAAGAGCACAGGCCTGAACGTCAGGGCAAGGACTTGGACTTTTGTATACTCCCTCAAATGAACATGGAGGTGGAGTTGGCCCCAAGTGTGGCATCAGAAATCCTCATGTTCATCCTTGCGGGGCCCATCCACGTAACCATGATGAGAAATCAGGGAGTGGACGAAGAAGCTTTGTCAGAGCTTGGATGCTCCAAAACAATTGGTGCGGATGTCTCGTTTTCCCTTCGTGTCAACTCTTCAGCCTCTGTCTGCTGCTTCGTGCTGTGCTGCTGCAGGCCCGCGACTGGCTGACGGGAGCAAGACAGATCAATCGGCAGATCGCGTCAGACAATGAGGACGCACACGAGTGACCTGAGAGCCTGAGTGACTGAATGTTGCTGCACGGTTTGATGGAAGAAGTCCCGGCACCAAGGTTTTCTCCACAGCATTTGGCCTTGGATGTGGTGTAGGATACTAAAACAAAACAGGACTGTCCTCCAAGTCCTGCAAAAGCTAAAATAGAACCGTCCTCCGAAAGCTAAATGAAAAAATCAGCAGTAGGACTATCCCAGTGGTTTGTTTTGAGTTTCTGCCCTCCAATATAGCTGGGTGCACTTTGATTGCACCTTGGAGTTGGAATTGTCGTCCCCCATTGCCTCAAATGTCCAGCTACTTGCTTCAAAGGAATTGGCGGAGCTGGTGCAGACCTTATCCCGAAGATTCATGAAGCTTTAGGATTCTGGACTTCATTTTCTGCATTCTCTTTTGTCAGGTGAATTCAGCCAAAGACTTGCTGCCACGAAGCTCCAGCGTCCCAGTCAGAAGCCCAATACGAGATTCAGTGACGGGATCCTTCCTTGAGCCTTTTTGGATAGGTAGATTCAAGGCATTTCAAGGACATCTGCGTTTCCGATCCGCTGCACCACTCCACCTCACGTTTGTGGATGTTTTACTTACTGTTTGTTCTCCTCCCCACTCCAACAAGAAGGAACGTCTTACATCCCTTCACGCTTGCTCGTGCTTCGCCCCCCGCCGATCGGGGTCGGCACATGGGATCCAATGGTCCATCTGCTATGCCTGAGGCGGGTGGTGCCCGCCACGCAGCAAAGGTGCTCAGGGAGGAGCGACACGCCTTTGTGCCTTGGGTGGCAGGGACTTTTGTTTGGTGTAGTTGAGGCGGTCCTTGCGAATCAGAAGTTTTTCCGCAAGAGAGAGAGAGAGAGAGAGAGTGAGAGAGATAACTATTAGATCATCAGATCCCTCTCTTGTACCGACTGCTACTACAACTATGTCATAACTATGTATGCCTAGAACAACATAGATCTCTAGATGCCATCTAGATGCCATAGTTGTACTCCGGCCCCACCAGGCCAGGCGCATTGCAAAGTCAGCAGCTCGAAACAGGAAGCCCTATGATCCATTGCATCAGCCTGAGAGGGGATGCTGAACAAGATGCTGAACAAAACAGTCTTTGGTTCTGGGTGTTTAGGGTGGTTGGTTGACCTGAGCAGCGTTTTCACGCAAGGTTTTCCCCAAATGTCCTTCTGGAGGC